ATATAGTGACGCTTTAGTAAAAAGGCTTTTCTACAGCATTTTCAACCTCCTGCATAATTTACCCCCTCAGTTCATTGCCAATCGCCATGCCAAAGAGTAGGGTGAAAGTTAATTTCCCTACTAAAAACCATATTACGCATGTTGTAAAATGTGTTTTAATTTGTTTGCCTATGAATAGGGCTTATGGCAAAGCTATCTGAGTTATATTTGTGAGCAAATCCGCCAATGGACTGCACTACTTAAGCCATTTTCAGCGCACAAACTGTAAGTTAGTAGCAAGTAAGGAGGTATCACCGTTCGTCTTGTCGTCTAGGTCGTGGTAGGATCATATTTGTGTAGTCTTGGGGAAGCGGCTTAATTTTGAAAGCCAGAAGACTATGGCAACTTTAATTGCTTATTTTGTCTACCCACGTGTTGTTTTCTGCACTACAGTTGCATAGTTGTTAAGAGGCGAAAAAAATGGTAACTGGCCTTGTGACACAAGAACACTAAGAATGGTACGCATATTTCTACCATTCCTTTGATTCCACCTTCCTTCACCCACTTGTCCAACTCTTCTTCCATCTACGTAGTCCACGTCCACCCACTCACCTCGGGCCAATCAGCTCAGACACTTATCTGCCACTCAACTGGCGCCCTGTCCATTAGCCATGAAAGGCGGATCCCGTCCACTCTCTTCAAAAGTATTGTAGTGTGTGTGTGTGTGTGTCGTTTTACTAAAAGGCCTCTGACCACCAAAGCGCCTCACATTAGGCCGCTAAATCCAGCCTGCATTCCACAAAGTTCTTTAGACGATAAAAAATCTCTTTTTTTCATTAAAATAAAGCAAAAAGTGCGAAAAGAGGGAAGAATTTCACTTAATCCCTTGCCTCCTAATGCCTTGAAGCAAAGACGGTGGGGGATTACCGGACACAATTGCCCCGCGAGTGTGGGGCAATTCATTTTTCCCCTTCCAAAGATCGTCGCCTCAATTAAAGGCAACAACGCATATTCCTCCATTTTTTCCCAATTTTAAAAAGAAAAAAAACAGACTAAGTTGCTCGTAAATTCTTTCAACTTTTGGCATAGAAATAACCGCTTTGGTGGCGGTCATTTGGGGAAGGAAAAAAAGCGACCTTGGGGTCTCCAGATTCCCTGTGATTTCGGAGCGATTTGGAATCGAAGTAGCCTCTCCCCTACTCTTGCCTATTAATGTGCTTGGACAATTGAACAACCGATAGTTTGACCTTTGTGGTGCTGTTAAAATCTCCGGAAGTTTCACATTGTTCACCGTTGGGTGCATAGGTGTTCTGGAAGGCAGTTTTCATCCTTTAAAGAGGTAATTTGGAGACCGAGTGCTTCGCCATCCCATCAACGAAAATGTCGTTTTGCCAAGACTTCACAGAATATCTCGAAGCACCGATTTCTTTGTACTTCTTTACGCTTTTAAGCAATGAAGTTGGCTTGCATCGAGGAGGTTTATAGGGTGAGATGGGCTACTAAGTGTCCCCAACCACTGGGACAAAATTTCGATAAACATGCTGTCACAACAAGACAGAATTTGTTTTTTTGTTTGTACTTATGCCGTAGCAACATCCTAACACCATTCAGACGCCTAGCCTAAATATTTCAGCAGAGGTGGAACGAAGTACTAATCGATTCTGTGCAGTCATTGGTAGATGGACGTGAACCAATCAAACTATTCGCCTGCCAAGATCGATAAAAACATTGGGCGGGTAATTAAAGTCCTATCAACAGTATCAATTAAATTAATTTGTTTCGACCCCGATAAACGGCGCCAAAATTGATAATTTCTACTGAATCAGGGTGGTGTAAAGTCTTAACAATGGTAAGGAAAATCTAAAGAATTAGTTGGCCTCTAAAAGGCAAACACTAATCAGTGCAATTGGTACGATATGTTGCATTAAATAATCCCTCGGGGTTCGAACCCAATATGACCTACACAAGCTGATAAACTACTCTGGTTTGCGGAGTTTTCCAAGGTGCGAAGGGAGTTAATCTTGATATGCTCAGAGTAACCCCTGGGGCTGAGAGTCGGAGAGGAAGTATTCGATTGGGTGTGTCGTCGACTTGCAACATTGCATCCAACGGTGTTACTCTAATGGGGAGTAAGGCAGCTAGATGGTATTCCTATAAGCTTATTACCTGTTCCTAGACTTTGGGTCAAATAGAATCGTCTGCTGTAAATGGTATAATTTGCAGAGAATCACTGAAGGAAGGATAAAACGCGACCGCAGTTTGGCAAACCTCCCCGCTTCCACTTATAGACAAATCGCAACCGACCTCAAGAAGAGGCTTACACTCGATTTCCCCCTCTGTACAAAATAATTTATTACTGCGGGCTGACAAGACTATACTGCCTTTCCGAGTGTTGCTTTTGGGGTAAATGTTACAACAAAAAAGGAACTGACATGCAGAAAGCAGTGTCTAAATAGCAACGGACAGACTGATAAAACTTATTTAGAGTAGCCATGGCTCACATGAAAGGCGTTAATGGAAATAAATTGGCTTAAACTATAGTATATGATGCCTAAAATACGACATAGATCCACAACTCTCGTTAGTCTTTACGCACATCTCCGCCAAATGCACACAAGGTGAAATAGCGAGGACTGAGGTGCGATTCTGTGATATAATCAAGTATGATAGGAGGTGATGGACAAGAAGCTCCTTTATATTGACTTCTCATGACATGTAATCCCATTGACATCAAGATTAAAGAGAAGTGGGAGCCCAGTGTCTCACTTGCAGTGATGCAAATAACACTCTCAACGTATCAACACAATAAAAGTCGTGAGTAAAAATTACAACACAGTCGACATTTGTCGCGGCGGGTAAAATTTTGGTGTTTTGCCTTTTGACAGAGCTATAACTGTTTAACACCATGCCCTAATCTTGGCTTTGTTCCAGCGCACACCCACCATAACACTTAATTATGGCACGAAGACCCCTCGACGCACGGATATTTATGCTCTCAAGTGAGTGAAAAACAACAGCATCGCTTCACAACCCGAATCAAATCAACAACCAAGGACATAAGTACGCAAGTTCCTTATTTTTTTGGATAAAAACTATGTTCACTGAAATTCCAGAAAAATAAGCATCAATCATAAATCGATATCCGTGCCACTGTCTGATTGGGCGATCATAAAATCCCACATTAGCAATGGCTGCCTCAAGGTCATGTATAGGTTATTTGTTTTTAAAAACCAAAAATGCAATCATTTCTTCAAAAGATCAAAATGCTAACGACAAGAACGCAGAGGACGCCAAACCAGAGACTTACCGACAGAATTCGATAAAGGAGTAGGAAAAATGTTTTCCATTAATAGCAGTTACCATATTCATGAGGAATCCGCATACGAACCTAATATGCCGCTATCTATATTTATGCGTGTTCGCGATGGAGAGGTAGGTCTCTGGTAATTAGGACTACCTACACAAATAGGTCAATGGTTTCTTCATACCAATCTTGACGATGGTCTTCTCCACAACGCATATGAATCTACTTCCCCAAAACGCACAAAATACGAATTCTTCGGCATTTCTGCTTAAATGCGGTTGAGAAGTTAAGCGTTAATTTTTGCAATAACCAAAATAAAAGTTTAGATCGATAAAGTAGCTTTTAATTGACAAAAAATAGGCAGATTGTATGACCTGCTAACGCAATGGACTTATCCACCAATCGATAACCTGTAGCCTATAGACGGCAGCACGTGACAAAGCATGCTCTGGTTGGTGGATGTGCGGTGCAGCCGTGTGCGCTGCTTCACCATTGGCTGGCCCAATAAACGCGGCTGTTTCAAATGAATGCCCTTTTACCTGCACACTGGCAGGCCATTCGACGCGCAGTTTTTGCGGCCTCTTGAGGGTTGGTGTGTCTGTCGGAGGTTAAAACTTTAATGTGACATTTGACAGGCGCACGCGCGCACAGGGAACACGGAAACGGGTGTAGCTGGGCTGACGATTATTATCTGGAAATTTATTTATTCATGCCTAAGTGGAGACGCCATCTCCACCGGAGGAGGTTGTTCTAATGCACTCTGGAGTTAACACCAATAATCACGCCGACTTGGAAGGCGCCTCTCACGTTCACCGATGCGAAAGATGCCATGCCGCCCTCACTGTCCCCTGTTGCCATAATAATCACCGCGCCGTTAACAACAGCAATTCGCATCGACGCAATGTTGAGAGGTCCTCCCACCACCGCGCAAACATTCGTTTTGTGGAAGTTCGAAAGGCTAAAGGTGAAGCCTTAGTAAGTCTCATGTTTCTTTATCTCCTTGGTGGGCTTTTTAACTCATGTGCAATTGCCCAAGATATGAAAATATTTGCAACGCCTCTTACCTTCATGCAGATTATGAGGAAGAGTAGTTGATGTGAAAAATTTTTTCCGTCTAAAATATTCTACTGCATGTTCCCATTGAAGTGGCGTTTCAGCTTTTAGAATGGTATGAAAGGTTGAGTGTCACCCACGGTCCTCTCCCCACTCTCTCCCATTCTCGCCCTCCTCCCTCCCCATTCCTCCCCTCATCGTTTCTTCACCGGAAGTGCTACGACAGCCCAAATCGCCCCACCACATCTTCGCGGATTTATCGCCACAAATACTTCCGGCTTTTATTCCAGGGTAAAATTTAAACGAAAAAACTTCCTAAAATTAACATTTTTTTACAAACTTTTACATTAGGAGAGGGGAAATTAGGACCAGTTCTTCTTTCCCTTAAATATCCTCCTCCAGATCTCAATTAGGAGTAATTGATGTTGAAAAACAAATAAACAAACAATCTATCTTGACTTGAAGACGTAATTAAGGGGGAGAGGGGAGACGGAGGCGGCTGTGGAGCTGCTACCCTTCACTTAGGCTAGGCGATAGCGTCATTTCTCTTGCCTGTTAGGCCTCTTCATCCGCACTTAAGCCCTGATTGAGTGGAGAAAGGTACGAGGAGACACGTCTCCCTTTTGCTTGGTGTAAGTGAGTGGGGCGTGTATCGCCTCACCGATTACAGTAGTCTGTTACACCCAGTGTAATCGAAATCCTCCTCCTCCTCCTCCTGCCCCAGCACCTCCTCCTCCTCCTCCTGCCCCACCACCTCCTCCTCTTCCTTCTCCTCCACCACTTCCTCCTCCTCCTCTTCCTTCTTCTCCTCCTCCTCCTCTTCCTCCTCTTCCTCCTCCTCCTCCTCCTCCTCCTCTTCCTTCTTCTTCTCC